AGGCGCACTCCCTGGTGTAGACCCCCACACAATTCGCAGCGAAGGATATGCCCCGGCAATCTAGCATTGCCCTACCAGCGGCGCTATCAGTGCAGCATGCCCACTGACTGGCCGACCATTCTCCGCAGGTCTCTATCCGTTTGGGAGCGTTGAAAATGGGAGCACTGAGAGTCACATCAGTACGGAAATCATCGGGCAAAGAAGGGGTCCCATTTCTGTTTATGAGCCGTTTCTCATGGATTTTTTTCTTCATCCCGGTATCACTGACCACCTTGACCTTAATTCTGATAGGATGCCTCCTAATCGCATACTGTGCCTTTAAGTCTTTCGCTGAGATAGCCGACCAGCCGTGCACGAGCGCATCTTTGGGTGCGACTGAAACAGACCAAGGATAGTTGTTGCTGGGGTTAGACAAGGAAAATCGCTTCGGTGAAATCTGGCGAAAGGTGCTACCTTCCTGAGGAAGCGCTTCTGCATCTGCAGGAAACATATCTGTAGCCGTTTCCGTGCGAAAGCAGTTCCATGATGTACATTTTTTACTTATTGATATCTATTGAAATCTTTAAAATTATTCACAAGGAATGTTGGTAATGATCGAAGTCCCACTGCCGGGCTCGAACCCGCAGCCTCTCGATTCTCGGGCAAAGAGGTCACAATGCACGTGCACTTAATCGGAGGGAGAGAGGGGTGAGTTCGTGTCCTGCCTGGGGCTAAAGTTTTGTCACCACCCACAATTCTTAACATTGGCAATGCGAACTGTGGCGTAAAAGGGCAGCTGATGAACAGAAGAAGTCACAATTTGTTTACATATTTCGAATCATAGTGTGTGTTACAGAGGCTACACTCCAGCTGGTTCCGGATCCATCGACCCATACGCATGCGCTAATATCCAGAATGCCAACAGTGGTAAGTTATCAAAATATCTTGAACATTAGCAAGGAGTGGGTCAGGACATATGAATCACGGCGCCGCGCCGAGAAACTGGGAAAATGGGCAACCATGGTGAATGCCGCCCAGTCGGCCGAGTCACTTCGTGACACTGCTATGCTGCAGTTCAACATGTCCTAATTCACACTAATAGGAGAGAGACATGCTGCCGGGGATTGTCACAAAGAAGTTTGAGACGATTCACCTTTGTAAACGTTGACCAATGGCAAAATCACAAAACCTTCGAACAAAATTACGCAGGAAGGGAAATGTTTGAGTCAGGTCACGCCAGCAGTGCAAATCTTCTGTCCCAATTCTAGGCTTGGCGCGTCTCATTTCATGATAAATCTGAAATAGCGTTCTCGCGGGAGGGCGGGGGACCATTGTTGACGAAGCGTCCTTATTTCAAATGGAGGATTGATGGACGGAGCAACTGTTTCCCTCGCCACGCATTATAAAACCTTAAACAGCATTTTTCGCAAAATTTTTTATCTACACGGGATCCGCAAGGAAATTAATAACTAGAGGAGCACGAGAGCAGCAAGTGAGTCTGGAAAATAATTTCTAACCAAGTATGCTATGAATATGGGCCCTACTTCTCGGAACACTTGCTCGAAGGTATTGAACTAACAAGTTAGATGGCTGTAATGAAGCTAAACTGAGGATGCGTATCTTACTGACGCCTACGTGAGCGATAGTTAAGTGGCTATTTTCTGGAACATGCTGTCGAATCGCTTTTCTTGGACACTGAGGAGTAGTTCGGAAGTGAAACACTCAGTAGGAACCCCTAGGATGGACCATGCCATGGATGACGTTTGAAATCTTCTGCTGCTTTATGCGATCATTTTAAGTACAGCTCGCGATCGCATGCAGATTTACTAAAACAGTGGTTTGTTTTTCAGCTGGACTCGGCACAGAAGTGTACATGACCCCACAGCCGAACTCTGCAAAGTCCGGTGCTCAGCAGTTTGACGAAATGTAGCACAATTTGAGGAAGCTCGCAACATTAACGTGCGAGCCGTGTGGATTCAGGTGAGAAAATAGCTCACTTCTGGAAAATTATGACGAAAGCAGTTATTAAAGGACGAATTCACGATGAAAAAGCAACCCATTTCAAATTAACCTAGGGATGGTGAGTGGTACACGAAAGAAGGAAGAACCATGAGAAACGGCCCAGAACCCGAGAAATGGGACCCCTTCCTTGCCCGTTGATTTGAGCATTGATGCGACTCTCATCGCTGTGCCCTCTTCAACACTACGCTCTCTCAGCTATCTAATCACTCGCCACGTATTGAACTACGGCGAGTGATCAGATGATCGGTGGGCGGAGATCGCCGGACCGCCAGCTTTGAGGCATGATAGGTCGCCGAGGTCAAATTTTTCATGCGAATTGCGCGTCAGTTCGCACCCTCAGGAGGTCCGTGGGTCCCTCAACTAGGTCAGTTTCCCTTTCTTCGACCTTCATTCTAATCGTGAATTCCTCCTTTAAAAATCAAAGTTCCTATCCTTCAACTGGAGATGAATCTTGTACGGGAAGGTGGCACTCTCCAGAAACAGGGTTTCATAGGCTGAGATGGGCTCGCGTTTTGCCTTGGTTAAACCTATTTCTTGCTCCTTTGGAGGTCTGCGTCCCTCTGTAATGGGCATTTCTCCCCTTCTCCCACACCCAATTATCATAACATCCGCCTGTAAATACCCTTCTCTGAGTCTCCTGCTCAGGTCTTTTTACAGCGGATTTGAGAAAAAACGGAACACGTAAAATAGTTCTAGTATCTTGAGCTGCGTTTCAGTTACCTTAAAGGAGAATTCCATGATAAGGACGAAGGTCGGTGAGGGGGGACTTACTTAGTGGGGCGGCAGGCGGTTGTCCTAAGGGTGTGGACGAACACGCAGGCCGCTCAGAAGGGTATTTCCTCGAAGATCTAGCATCTATCATCTAGTTGCAGCACTATCGGCCCAGTACGCCCCCATCCCGCGTCGTTTCGTGTCTGAGTCTCTAGCGGTTCAGCAGAGAGAGCGTTAGCGTTGAAGAGGGCAGCACCGATGAGAGTCGCATGCAAATCAACGGGCAAGGAAGGGTCCATTTCTCGAGTTCTAGACCTTTTTGTCTTTGCTTTTTCTTCCATGGTTCACTCACCATCTCCAACTTGATCTCCAATAGGCTGTTTCTTCAATTTGAAGTCCACCTTTGATGCAAGAATCCCACAAAGTTTCCGAGCTCTACCAGGATTGATACGCACCCAAATTCCAGGTAACGTCACCAATCAACTGGTTTGCGAGCAGCAGCACCAACATAAACTTCCTGAACAGCATCTTGGCAAGAGCCAGTGTAAGTAGTGACAAGCAATTTTCCAGCAGAAGGACTATAAGGCCCATATGGAAATTGATTTATTCCAGCAATATGGTCTTACTATCGGAATCTACACAAGCTATTACGATTGGAACCAAATCACGGCTGGTGCTACGATCAACAACGCCATGCTCTGGTGAGTGCTCGGAAGATTTTGGCTAGAATACTGGCTCAGTGAGGGACTAGAGCGCCAATTTCTTCTCTGCCATGAATTACATGGCCACATATCCATTTTGACCACCTAGGTACTGGAATGTATACGGTGGTGGCCCGTCGAACGAGACCCCACCCAACTTCAATGACTTCCGCTCATTCGGTGGATGGATGGCTCCCTCAGTGAAACAATTCGCTCAAGTCGAATCCGTCTGTGGAGTAACTGTGAACAGGTACCGTAGGTTCTCCTCTTCCTGTACTTCCACCAAAGTCAAGAAACAATTAAGTGATATGATCGATTTCAGAGATGTGTACAGTGCATCGAATGCAATGACTGCTATGGCTTCCGCGACCGAGACAGGAAAGCCCGAACAAATCACCGTCGGTGGTCTGGGACTTGCAAGTGCGGCGGCTTTCACTGGAAAACCAGAAATCAAAGCATGATCTACATGTTCATGATCTTAATGTAATAATAATTATAGAATAAACATTATGGGTTGATTTGTCAGGAATTGTATATTCTTCCCACAGTGAAATTTAAGAATCAACAGTACACTCAAGCGCAGTCTGAAAGCTGAAAGCTTGTTCAACAGCTTCAGGAGCATTGCGCAAGATTTTTAGCCAGCAGCTGTTTACGCTCTTGTCCTCCAATGCGTATACATCTCACAACAAGTGATCACCCCGCATAGGTGAATGACCTGAAAAACCCAGTGGTCTGAGTCGAAGAACTTCTAGTCACAGCACTATCTCCTTGTAAAATGCACCTTCTTCTAATGTACCTGAGCAATTGGAGAAGGCAGTCATGAATCTCTTCCGCAATCATACCGAAGGCTTTACATGTCAAAGTTATAGGTTCCCCATCACGCTATCCCTCTGCTATTTCGGCTGAGAATGGAGCATGACAGTTTGCTCGCGCAAAAAGTGAGAGTTTTACTGTGAAAGTGGTCCAAGTATAAAGAAACGTTTGTGTATAAACGAACATTTTAGATAAGCTCTGGACAAGGCACAAAATATCATAATGGACCACAAAATGCTAAGGCACTCTAGGCTTGACTTCCCTTGGCATCCATTCTGCTGTGAAAGAAAAATGCAGAGTTGAAGAGGCCCGTGGATGTGACTCACGTACACGACTTTCGGCGGAAGATGCCCAAGGTCATATGAATGACAGGACCTTGCCTATTACTGTCGTAGCTTTGAAAATAGTCGCTGAATACGAGTTTTGGCATGATGCATATCTGAACGCGCCGCAGGGAACGGTAGTAAAGTAGGCAAACTTGCACGTTAACGGGCTTCTCAAACCGTTTGTAACGTGCAGGTGCAAGTTTTCCCGATTACATGGTATATTGCGTCGATTCCCAAGTGAGTTGCACGTCCCAGGCCTCGTAACGCGCAGCTGTGAAACGCGGAAGGCAGGCTCGCCGACAGATAACGGGACGCGCAGGGGCGAAATAGTATGTGTTTGGAGAGACGCAGGTGACGAAAGTAACGCGCAGGCAAAAAGTCCTCCGGAGGACTTTTTGGGGTTGGTCGATCGTGATAGTATCTGTTCGTCTTTTATGCCTAATCCGCCATATTGTAAGGAGGACACCGCGTCGGCCTAGTTCTAATCCGATAATCGCTTATATTCTACATATTACTATTCATACTACTAACACATTGACGACAATGCGAGTTTTGGCTTTTTTGGCCACGTGGGACCGGGCGATTTTGCGGGCGCGGCCGCCTCAGGCCGTTCAAGCAGATTTTGAGTGATAAATACATAAATAATGATCAATACAAAACCAGATCAGTAAATTGCAGTGAGTACAACCTACCCAGGGGTACAGTAGTGGAATTTCGATCGAATGGCGTGGAATTACAATGAAAAAGTGAAAATTTTCATAACTAGCAGCAATGGACCTCAAAAGCAATTTTGTGTTGATTATTTCAATCAAAACACACATATTGCCATCAATAAGGTTCCGTATCTACTTCTACTACTATTTAAATCTTCACATTCATAAAAAGAAAAAGTAAACGAAAAGTTTTTTAAACTGAAGATTTCGTATGGTTCACAAATCCTCCTCTAAATCAGAGCATACGTAACCATTCTATGTCCCACTATGTTTGCAGCTACATCAAGGTCTCTTCCAAGGAATAAATACAAGAAACTTCTGAAAGAATAAGGCGTGCGCGAAAAAAATGAGTGTAAGGGTGCGGGGGATATATCCCGCACGGTCCGACATGGCCTGCAATGCGCGGGATATATATCCCTCCGCGTTGTCGCTAGCCGTGATTTTATAATCGATATTTCGTTGTGCAGGTTCCTCGATCTAGTCTGCATAATGGTAATAGTTTTCGCGATACTCTTCAGAAATAAAGATTTACCTTCGGAATTTATACGTTAAGTAGTTGGTCTACAATAATAAGAATAAATTGACGATAGTTTTACGTCGTTTCATGACCTCAATTTTTTTTTTTTTTTTTTTTTTTTTTTTTTTTTTTTTTTTTTTTTTTTTTTTTTTTTTTTTTTTTTTTTTTTTTTTTTTTTTTTTTTTTTTTTTTTTTTTTTTTTTTTTTTTTTTTTTTTTTTTTTTTTTTTTTTTTTTTTTTTTTTTTTTTTTTTTTTTTTTTTTTTTTTTTCTTTTAAAATAAAACAAAGGGGGTAGCACGCTATGGGAAGGTTCTTTCTAACACATACACATCATGTTGGGTAAATGATCTTGTTTACATTATTTTCTTGGTCCTCCAGAAAGTTATATCTCTCACCTCCGTGTCTTAGGTCTCTCCCTTCCTCCGTCGCTTAGCTTTGCTCGCCATACACAACCCCTATTTTGAGAACTTTTTGATTGATGTTAGCATTTTTTTCTTCACTGGAAAACCTGCCATTACCTATTGTTGTTAACCAAGGTCAATGCTTTGCTTCCGCTATCACGAAATGTACATTCTGAAGAGGGGTGTCATTTTTGAAGGAAAGGCCTTTAATCATTTTGAATATAATTTATCACGTGACTCTTCACGTCGAGTCTGCTTCTGTGGCCGTGTTTTAACAGAAATGTTATGGGCATCATAATCGGCTGCAGGAAGTCTAAAGGATTTTTAGTAGACAAATAAAAAAATTTTGTCACTCAAATAAATGAAATGTGACTTCTATTCACTTCTTTTAGTATAACCTCTAAAGCCTCGTTCTTACTTACGCTTGATAATACTTATACCATTTACGCAGGACTAAAAATTTGCAAGCATCGAATTTCTTCATCTGTGTTCATCCCTTATGAACACAACTTTGTAAAAGGCCATACGAGATCAAGTCTACCTTTCTACACTCAGTGGCCTATTTGAAGGAAAAGGATGTGTAGTAGCTTATCAGCAGTAATACAGGTTAATAGTTCTGTGCCGGCCACAGGCGCTGCGTCGCGCAAGGCTTGTCCTTGGGGTTGAAACGTCGCGACGAATTCAAACCCTTAGCACTTTGGCAAATAAACTTTTGTAACTTCTCCCGTGTCCGAGAACAATTCAAATGCTTGGCTTGTTCCCAAAGTTTTTCATCATGCTCGCACATCCCATTTGGTATTGTAAACAGCAACAATTGAAAATAGCTCTGATACGACTCTATGTCAGACCCATTGGCCATTACTGGATTTGCTATACATCTTAACTTAGCCAATAAGCTCCAATTTTATATCTTCTCTCTAATAAACAGAGACCTATGCTAAATGTAATGTATTTTAGTAATACTCATATCAAGGTGAGTGAAAGACTAGCCACAGCAGATGATCCTAGATCCGAGCGACGTGCGGACGACCACTGACAAACAGCGACGCGCGCGACTAGCGGCGGAAACAGAACATCAACGCTAGGGAGAAGAAGAAGAAGAAGACAGCGTCATAGCAGTAATGGCTTTCGAATCCCATTCTTTACGGGCGGATTAACTTCAAATTGCCAAAAAATTTTATTGCTAAACTTCGATCACTGCCTTATCTCGGCTTTTAGAAAAGCAGTGTTGCCGAACCCTAAGCCACCAACGACAATGCGATCAGATTTTTCATGTCCAGCTGCATCAGCTACCGCCGTCGATGATGTGCTGTAGATGTCACTGAATCAATAGCTTTACAGTTCAGAACATGTGACAAATTTAGAGAGAACCTTATATCTGCCATTCGAACACTGTCACTGTGGCTAGGATGTCTAAATGTCGGTTAAGACGGGATATGCGCTTGAAGAAGAGACGCTGGACAAGTGCGATTACCGAGTGGATTTTTCGATTGTAAGTCGAATAATTAGTAGAGCGGAATTAATGGTCAATTATTCGGTTTTTGCAGGCATATGCGGGAGTTATAGTGGAGTATTCCACAACCGAAAACTCAGGGAGCTCCTTGTGCTAGCGGAATGGTCGGAAACACAAAAGGGCGTTCGTTTGCTTCAATTGATGAATGAAGTACTACACGTGATCGTTGCTTAGTTTAATGGAGATTTGAACAGGGAAAGATTACAAAGGTGAAATCTCGATGACAAGTCCAATATTCCATAATACGGTCTCATTATGCTTTATTTTCACGTTTCAGCCCTGAGGGCAATTTGTTTCATTGCTGCGGCTCTATCGGCGGTTACGTTCGATGACTCTGCCCTGCATAGGAAGTCGATTTTTCAAAGCTCATAGGGCATTTTGAGATGTCGCATATTTAAATGATGTCATGTCCTTCGCAATGGCCTCACAAATGTCAGACGCATGGTTTTTTTTTAATGTAAGCTTTTGGCATTGAGGTCGCTGCTGTGCCAGATGGCGATCTTCTAGCGCCATCCTGTTATGTTCATTTTACACAGTCACTATCCCACAGAAACAAGAGGAAATTCAGGGTGCAGATCAACAAGTGGTTTGCTGTTCAGACTGGTCACTTGGGCTAGGGTCTTGCCTGGGACTCGTATTTGGACCAAAGAGGTAACTACTTTGGCCTGCCCCAGAATAACCTCGATTGGTTGCGTTGCCCTGGCTGACCTGCACTCCCAACTGCTTTCTTAGGATTTTATCTAGTGAAAGGCTTCGGTTGGACATACACTTCTTGATCACATTTGTGGGTATTCATTTGTGCTCAATTTGTTCGCTCTTTGAGTACCATATTACTGGCGGTCAGCATCGGCCTTCCTGGCAACGAATATCTTTTTTCTTCTCTTCTTTCCTTGCTCTCCCTCAGAGGTTGAGCATTAAACGCAGTTGGTGAGGTATATGCAGGAACATTGCATCCTTTACCCCGTTTCGCTACTAGCTCCATATTACTGCTAAAAAGTCGGGCTGTAGTTAGACACTCTTGGTTTCCTTGTGGTTTTATGTCGTTTTTTCTTTTTTTCTCTCTGATGCTTGATGTCTTTACTTACTCAATTTGTAGCAGTTAATGGCGCACCTTTGTGGCAATAAATAAATAAATAGATTTTTCGACTACTTTGGTGAATCCCAAGGATTATGGAGG